CACGGTCGAAGAAAGAGCGTCTGCCTCGAGGGCTGCTTCCTCGAGAACGGGCGCGACTGCTCTTCGGAGCGGGCTCCCGCTTCTCGGGAGGGTCTTCTGGCATCCTGGGCTGGCCGAGCCGCTCGCGCCCCTTCTGCTTGCGCGCGCCACTCCCAGGGACGGCTCGCGCTACAGCCGGCACCGGGGTCAAGAGGCTGATGTTCTTTGCCAGCGTTGTCGTGATCGTGCTTCTGCGGCCACTTGCGAAGCCTACTCCCTGCGGGTCCAGTCGACGCTGGAATGCCGCATACCCCTGCTGGGGTTCGCCTGGCCGCAGGCATCCGTCGAGTTCTGAACCACGGTTGCCTTTTCATGAACTTCGACCTGCAGGGGTAGTGTGAAGATGTGGTTGCCCAATGTTTCGGTTGTGCGGGCAGGCTTAGCATCTCGATCCCAGAGTCCCCATAGAGACAGCTACACGTGGCCCGGGGCGCCCCCCGCAGAGGGGGGCCCTGGCGGATAAGATGGCATGCTGGTGCGAGACGAACGAGAAGGAGAAGACGAAGTCGATCAAGGCCGGGGGGCAGCAGAAACTCAGACGTCATAGCTCGGCTTCGCGTAAGAGCGACCCTTCGCCGGAGTGGTCTTCGGTGTGCGGCTTTCGAGGGGCGCGGGGGGGGGGATCCAAGAACGCAGGCTGCTACTGTCGCATTACATGCCCCGCTCGGCTAGCTGATCACCAACAACCGCTCTTGCCTAGGGTCACTCTTGCCTGTAGCTGAATAGCACAGCTGGCTCAGAAATTGATTGAAGTCAGAAGATTGCCTTAAACGTGCTTACATTAGTTTCGGAACAGCAGTCCAGAAGCGACCGCCAGGCAACCCGCAATCGGAAGTTTTCGGAATCTGCACATGAGCATGCGCAGTAATTCGCTGCTCTGCCGCTGCTTTTCTGTGCCAGTTCTCCTTTCTCCGCATGTTTCTCTTTGTGCGTGCATCCGTGCCTACCATTTTCTTCCACGAGGAGGCCGAGGCGCGCATCGCGCAGCTCGAGACGAAGATCGAGGAGGATACCGCCCTGAGTGCCAAGCTGGAGTCCGAGATGCGCGAGCTCGAGGAGGAGGTAGCCAAGAACCAGGGGGCCTTGGACAAGGCTGGTTCCCGGGAGGGGAGGATGGGGTGGGTGGGGCGACAGGGGAAGAAGGTCGGGAACTTTTTGGCCATCGTGTCCCGCCGCCACCGCGCTTCGACGCGACACGCGAGTCACGCCCCAGTTTCCCCAAGCGTCAACGCTTCGAGCCTCTCCTGCCCTACTGACCCTCGAAGCAGAGCGACACGCTATCCGCTTCAAGGCATAGCGTGTCTTCAGGGCCGTCGCCGCGCACGCCTGGTAAAAGTTCCCGACCGTAGGGGGGAGGGATGGGCTGGGGCAGGAAGGGAGGAGGAGGACCAGTGTAAACACTAGACTCATCAACGATGTTGGGATACACCCTCCTTCCGAGCTCCCCCTTCATGGGATCCTACGAGGGTTCATGTCCACTGATGGAAATGCCGCGTTGGGAGACAGCCGTGTGAAACTCATGAAACGTGCCAAAGCACCACATTCAGGATTTCAACGCCACGAGTCAACCCGACTGATGCGTCAGCCAACCTGATTGTTGAATTCGTCCATGTGATTGTTGCGTTTTGACGACCCTGTACTAATCAACGTACTAGTCGCGCCCCAACAGTCCACTGTAGTTCCCAAACACAATTTCTGGTATGTTCGTCATGAGAACCCATGAAACTGTTTCAAACGTATGTGTTGAAGCGAATGTGCGCGCGCTCAGGCGAGAGCCACTTTTTGAAAACGAGCTGCCCTCGATCCATGAAGCTCTTGAAAAGGTTTGAAACGAATGTGCGCGGCGCTCACGCAAGAGTAAGATGTTTAAACGAACCGCCCTCAATCCGTGAAGCGCTTGCAAGTTTTTGAAATCCACTTGTCCTGCATTCTTGAAGCTCTTACACATCAATAAAACGAATGTGCGCGGGGCAAAGGGGAGAGCCACATTTTGAACACGGGCCGCCCTCATTCCGTGAAGCTCTTGTAAATGTTAGAAACGAATGTGCGCGGCGCTAAGGCGAGAGCCACATTTTGAAAACGACCCGCCCTCCATTTTTGGATCTGTTGCCAGCTTCTAAGCTTCAGGCTCATCGATGGTCAGGAAGTCTCAGGCGAAACGCCCAGCCCGCCCTTCCGACTGGCCTCGGGGTGCGACAGGGAGGAGTTATTCATAGCCCTCCCCGGGCCCCCCTCCCCTTATTCCGACCGTGCGCCCTCCCCCCGCTCCTCCCTTCCACGCTCCCACCGCCCTCCCGACCGTGCGCCCTCCCCCCGCTCCTCCCCTGCGCCTCCCTCCTCTTGCCTCCGTGCCCCCCGCCCTCCCTGGGCCCCCCTCCCCTGATTCCGACCGTGCGCCCTCCCCCCGCTCCTCCCTTCCACGCCCCCACCGCCCTCCCCGGGCCCCCTCTCCCCTTATTCCGACCGTGCGCCCTCCCCCCGCTCCTCCCCTGCGCCTCCCTCCTCTTGCCTCCGTGCCCCCCGCCTTCCCGGCCCCCCCTGGCCTGATTCCGACCGTGCGCCCTCCCCCCCCTCCCCTGCGCCCCTCTGCCGTTGCCCCCGTGCTCCCCCCATTATTCCCGCCTTCTCCCCCGTGCTTCCACCGCCCTCCCCGGCCCCCCTCCCCTTATTCCGACCGTGCGCCCTCCCCCCGCTCCTCCCCTGCACCCCCCTCCTCTTGCCTCCGTGCCCCCCGTCTGCCCGGATGCCCCTTCCCCTTATTCCGACCGTGCGCCCTCCCCCCGCCCCTCCCCTGCGCCCTTCTCCCGATGCCTCCGTGCTCCCCCCACGCCCCCCGGGCTCCCCCGCCCTGTCCCCCGTGCCCCCCCGCCCTCCCCGGGCCCCCCTCCCCTTATTCCGACCGTGCGCCCCCCTCCACCGCTCCTCCCCTGCGCTTGTCTCCTCTTGCCCCCGTGCTCCCTCCACGCTCCCCGGGCCCCCGCGCCTTCTCCTCCGTGCCCCCCCCGCCGTCCCCGAGCCCCCCTGCACTTATTCCGACCGTGCGCCCTCCCCCCGCTCCTCCCCTCCGTGCCCCCCCCGCCCTCCCCGGACCCCCTCCCCTTATTCCGACCGTGCGCCCTCCCCCCGCCCCTCCCCTGCGCCTCCCTCCTCTTGCCCCGTGCCCCCCATCTTCCCAGAGGCCCCTCCCCTTATTCCGACCGTGCGCCCTCCCCCCGCCCCTCCCCTGCGCCCCTCTCCCGTTGCCCCGGTGCTCCCCCCATTCTTCCCGGGCCTCCGCGCCTTCTCCCCCGTGCTTCCCCCGCCCTCCCCGGGCTCCCCTTCCCTTATTCGTCCGTGCGCCCCCTCCCCCCGCTCCTCCCCTGCGCCCCCCTCCCCTTGCCTCCGTGCTTCCCTGCGCGCCCCCACCCTCTCCGGGCATCCGCGATTGTATGATCCTTGGCACGCGTGCCCCTTGTTCATAATGACAAGGAATGGAGGAGGAGGAGGAAGAGGAGGAGGAGGAGGAGGGGGAAGCGGAGGAGGAGGAGGAGGAGGAGGAGGAGGAGGAGGAGGAGGAGGAGGAGGAGGAGGAGGAGGAGGAGGAGGAGGAGGAAGAGGAGGAGGAGGAGGAGGAGGTAGAGGTTGTGGGAGAAGAAGGAAAGGGAGGAAAGTGAAGAGAAGGAAGAGGAGGGAGAGGAGGAGGAGGGGGTTGCCCTAGAAGACCTGCAGGACCCCCACCAGGCGGTGCGTGGTATCCTAACGCGCCCACGTTGTGCCGGGAACGGTGGCGGACTGCTGGCTGATTGGGCGGAGACGCATACGGCGAGTCGCCGCCGGCAGCACTCCATATGGAGGGAGCTCGGAGGGACCTGACGAGACTCCTCGCTGCATGTTGGTGGCTGTAGGGATCGTCAGATTCGGATTCGTGCCAGGTGCCAGGAGGCGCAGGGAGGCCCTGGGGGACCCACAAGTTTCTGCGGAGGGTCGCGCACTAGGAGTCTGCAGGAAGTTTCAGGGCGCATGCTCCCACGAAGGCGATGCACCATTCTGGGCACGCGACCCCTCGTGGGGATGGGGGGGCGTCGTAGCACATTTCTTTTGTGACTTTCTTGCTCCTTGCCTCTCACCCTTCTCCCCTCTCTCGCGGCCCTGGTGCCCCTGAATGTGGCAGCGGGTGCCAGGTGAGCTCCCCGAAGGAACATGGTAGGTGCACCTCGGCCTTGCGAGCCACTTTCCTGCCTCGCAGGCCACGTCGATCCGCGAGAAGGAGCTGGCCGATCCAATAGGCTTACGCCACATCCACCGGCTCCTATTATGTAAACTACGGCGCGTCCGAAGTAGGGGACGGTCATCGTCGTCGTCGTCGTCGTCGTCGTCGTCGACGACGGGCCTTCTTCGCGTTGATTTTGTTCTCGTCGCTGGGCGCTGTTGTTGCGTATTCGCTTGTTGCAATCATCGCTGTCGTCATTGTCGTCCTTGTCGTTGTCGTTGTCGCCGTCGGTCGTCGTCGTTTTCCGTCGACGTTGTCGTCATCGATATTGTCGTAGTTGCTGTTGCTGTCGTTGACTTCGTCGTTGTCGCCCAATGTGATCGCAATGTGTTGGTCCGCATTTCGAGCGTGCGCGCCAGTGGGGCATCCTGAAGTGCAAGTCATGCACGTGAGCCCCTCTGAAGCGCTTGTGGCAGCGCGCGAATGTTCGGGGCCGCAAGGGGGAACAGGAGGAGGAGGAGGAGGAGGAGGAGGAGGAGGAGGAGGAGGAGGAGGAGGAGGAGGAGGAGGAGGAGGAGGAGGAGAGGAGGAGGGAGGGAGGAGGAGGAGGAGAGGAGGAGGGAGAGTTGGGGAGGAGGAGGAGGGGGAGGAGGAGGAGGAGGAGGAGGAGGAGGAGGAGGAGGAGGAGGAGGAAGAGGCGGAAGAAAAGTGAGGATCTGGTTGGCGGGCCTGAGCTGAGACCCAGCCCGCAAGATTTCACTTCGGATCTGGAGGCCGTTTGCGGGCTCACGGACCGCGAACTGGGTTGAGGATCTGAGGCCACTCGGATGGCTGACGCGGTGTCGTGTGAGGTCTTTCGGGGGCGTCTTGTAGCCAGTTTTGGGGGCCTCGGGGGCCTCCTGGGGAGCTCTGCGGGGTTCTTTGGGGGCCCCTCGGGGCCTCTTGGGGGCTTCTTGGGGCGACCTGGGAGCGTTTGGGGGCCGACGGGTCGAAATTTCCGTTCGGGTTTCGCCTCTGGGCCCCCTCTGGGGGCCGTCCTGGGGCTCTCTTGGGCGTCTTGGGGGTTTCTTCGGCCGTCTTGGGGCTCTCTGGGGCTGTCTTGGAGCCCTCTTTGAGGCCTCTTGGGCCATCGTGCACGTAGTGAAAGTCCCAGAGGCGAATCTGCAAAAAAACCTTCGGCTTCTGAAGGGGATGGGGCGATTTTCGGTTCTGGGGGGCCCTCTGGGGGAGGTTTTCGAGGGCTGCTTGGGGCGTCGTGGAGGCATCTTTGGCCGTTTGGACGCCACCTTGGGCGTCCTGCATCGATATGTCGGCGACTCGGGGCCCTCTTGGAGTGTCTTGAGGGTTTCTTGGCAGGCCTCAGAGGCAGTCTTGGCGTTCCAAAGGGGGCCGGGGAGGACTGGACCCCCCCGGGTGAGTTCGGAGGTGGGTCGTGACGGGCCGGGTGGGTGGGTCAAATTCCCTGTTTGGGGCCCCTGGGGGGAGGATTATTTGGGGCGAAGAATTTCACACGTCTAGAGACCCACAAGGGGCTGGCGGACTTCAACGGGGAGGAAAAGGAGCTCCTGGAGGCAATCACGGCGCTCAAGTCTGCCGTCACCGTGCTGTCGAAGCACCACGGCGGGGCGTTCTTGCAGGCGGGCCACCCCGTCCGAACGGGCCGACATCGATATATATATATATATATATATATATTTATGGATTTGCATAACTATACAGTGTATACATGTGCATATATATATACGCAGTACATATATATATATATTCACATCTATTTCACAAACGTGCATATACATACATGTTTACACAGGCACCTGTGTACTCATGCATCATGCACAAACTGTTCACGGCGGACTGCAGTCGAGAATCTGATTCAGATACCTCCTCCTGAAAAGCTGGGCCAGCATTTCTTGACCAACTTGCCGGAAAGCTGGCCCAGTTTCTTGAGCGCGTTCGCCCATCCAACGTTAGCAACAGAAATCTGCCCAGGCTCGTTTTAAGAATCGTCCGGAAATTTGAACCAGATTTCTCAAATGATAATTTTCATGATTCTATTCTCGGCTGCTTGCACAGCGGACCAGTAGCTCACCTGTAGCTCACTCGTCGTCAGGAAGGGCTGGCTCAGGCACTGTACGGGTTTCTTGTTTCTAGTCTTCGGGCGGATCTCGCGCTCATGCTCTATCCACGCATGGCTTTGTACTCGCTGATGCCAGGCGTGCGGTCAGAGAAAAAGCCAGATCTGCTACCAGCCCGTACGATGCTGTCCAATCGCAGTCTCATGGATCAACCGATCGGTGATAAGTCGTTTATTCTCTGCAAAGTTGAATCTTTACCCGGGCCGACCATGCCAAACATCCATCCACGCACTATCAAAGCTCAGCAGCGGCTTCGACACGGCAATTGCATTCTTTACTGCTGCCTTCTTGGGGCCTACTTGGACTTCGAGCGTCGTTACAATCGGCCGGCCACACGCTAGCTTCCTCAATACATTTTGGGCGAGCTCTTTCAGAGCCTGTTCTGTTACCGTCTCTTGCAACCAAATGTGGATCTAATCTTTCATATGTCATGGTGGCCAGTGGAGACGTGTTGGGACCACGAGCGAGTCACACATAACTGCCAGCGTTGGAGCGATAGGCTTGGGATGGCGATCGAGGAAGACGGTGGCGTTGGCGTGGTGGCGTTGGCGTAGCGACGGCGACTCCAATGCTGGTGCTACCGATGGTGGGTGGGGATGGGTTGAGGCGCGGTGCAGCAGCCTGTCCGCACAGCAATTTACAATTTTGGGATCCTGCGCGCTCACAGAGGGCATCACTGCTTGACCGCTTTTGCAATCACCGCTGCCTCGTCGCCTGCTCCTCTCATCGCCTTCCCCCCGCGGGGCTGTGGGCCTTCCTCCGACCTTTCGCTGATTTCAGACGTTGGCATCGATGCTGGTGTGCTCGGCTCCACCTGTCCAGGTCAAGGCGTCGCTGCGACGTCCAGGCTGCCCTTGGCCGTGCGAAACAAATCAGCGGCCCAGCCGACGCACGCGTGCATGACTCCACATGGGGCTTCGGGAGAGCGCGTTTGCGCGAGCGTCCGTGGCATTCATCGAGGGCTCCAGGGCTGTCTCGCGAACTTGGCAGCAGACGCGTGCACATGGCTGGGCGCGTGCGTCCCCTCGGGCCCCCCACCAGACAGGGCCTGCCCGCCGCGGGCGCAGACCTCTGCGCGGCTCGGCCACCGAGTGGCCCCCCTGCCTCTCCCGGTGCCCGAGGGCCGCGGGCGCCGGCTGCACCGGGACGTGGGCTTCATCCTCTAGAGAACACGCCTGCGGCGCGCAGGCGCCCATCAGCGCACGGCCCCTGCAACGCCCATCAGGAGCGGTGTAGGGGATCGACGAGAGGAGAGGGGGCCCACCCTCACTTGCGAACTCCTGAGATGGGTTGCAATCGAAGGAAGGCTGAAGCGAGAGCCCCATGTTGAAAAGGGGCCGACCTCCATCCCCCTGACAGTTGCAAGCTTGAAGACGAATGTACGCTACGCTGAGGCGACGGCCCCATGTTGTCCAGGAGCCGCCCTCCAGCTTTGTAACAGCTTCCAGGTTTTCAGACGAACGTGCTCCGCGCCACGGCGGGAGCTCGATGGTGAAGCCACCACCGCTTCATCCTTTGAATGTGTTGCAAGCTTTACGCACGAGTGTGCGGGGCGCCGAGGCGAGATCTCCATTTTGAATGCGACCCCTCCATCCAATGTAAATGCTGCAGACTTTTAGCACGAATGTGTGCGGCGCCAATGCGAGAGCTCCATTTTGAAAATGGCCTCCCTTCGTCCTTGTAGCTGCTGCAGTTTTCAAGCCTCAGGATGAAACACTGTGAGGAAGTCTCTGGCGAAACGCCTGGCCCGCCGTGACGACTCCTCCGGGGGCCCGACAACGGGGAGATATATGAAAGGGAAGGACAGGAAGATGATGATGAGGAGAGGAGGAGGGGGATGGAAGAGGGAGGATGAGGCGGGAGGAGGATGGAGGAGGAGGAGAGGTCGAGGGGAGGAAGAGGAGGAGGAGGAGGAGGAGGAGGAGGAGGAGAAGGAGGAAGAAGAGGAGGAGGAGGAGGGTCGTGCCCTGTCAGCCCTTCGAGCCCTCCGGCCGCAGGTGCCTCGCGGCAGCGCGGCGGGCGTCGCCGGCACGCTGCAGCGCGTGATGGCCAAGCACGCCCGCCTGCTCCAGGGCGTGCTCACCCACTCCGAGCGCAGGGCCGCTGCAGCCTTCATCCAGTCGCCCCAGGAGTCGGCCCTCCTCCTCCTCCTCCTCCTCCTCCTCCTCCCCCTCCTCCTCCTTCTCCTCCTCCTCCTCCTTCCTCCTCCCAGGACCTCCCCCCAAGAGTTCCGTTCGACGCTCCCCTCTCAGAAGCCCCCTCTCTCCTGTCAGGGCGCTCTCTGCGTCGTTATAGCCTCTCGGCTCCACATTACACCGTCGGTTCGGCGCACGGTGTGCCTGGTCACTTCACGAGTGTATGGGCGCCCACCGCGTTGCTGCTTCGCGGTGCCGTTCCAACAGCTCCTGGAGGCCTTCGTGGTGATCAGTGTGCGTGCTTTGAGGGTCAGACTTCGTCTCATGGTCATGCTCATGCTCATGCTCATGCTCCTGGCTCCTCCCCTTCTTCATCTAGCGGCGAGGGTGTCTACGGCCACGTCCTCGCGGTCCAGATTCGGGTGCGCGACCCCGCGGATACGCGGTCGTACTGGCACGTCCCGCGCGGGGCATCTGCGAAAAGACGCGTCGTATCCGCGGAGTCGCGGCCCAGGGACCCTCGTCCTCTTCTCTCTGCCCCCGTCCTCCTGCTCCGTGGCGCGCTCATCGTCGACTCAACTTTGTGACTCGGGTCGGGAGAGTGCGTGCGCGAATGGGAAACTCTGGGTGTGGTTTGACGTTTCCTGGCAAAGCGTTCCAGGTTGCCGCAGAGCCCTCAACGCGTTCTCGAGCGCTGAGCGGTCCTGTTTCGAGTCGCCCCGAGTTGACAAACGGGTTGGGTTCTTCGCCAGGCGAATTGTTCGTTACCTCCCTGTCTGTCTGCATGTAGATTAGCTGTGTCTTGCTATGTCACACTCTACGTTTCCGTTGTTCTCTTGGCCTTGTCCCCTTCATGCCCATTAGCTTGCTCCGGATCTTGGCTCCTTCGCTGACGTGCCCCAGCCAAAATTAACAAACATTTTCCAGGACTACTTCGACGCAGAGCCCACGTTCAAGCAATCGTACGCCCCACAATCGGGTGAAATCTTCGGAATTCTCGAGCAGATGAAGGAGGCCTTCGAGAAGGACCTGTCGCAGTCTCAGAAGACCGAGATGGCGAACCAGAAGGCGTACGACGAGCTGAAGGCCGCGAAGGTCGAGCAGATCGAGGCGGGGCAGGCGCAGATCGACAAGAAGTCGCAGGAGAAGCGCAGATCGACAAACCCCCAAAATCAAAAAAACTGAATCATGGAATCAGGCATCTGATTTTTGTCAACAAGAAACGCGAAGTTTCAAACAGACGTTGCAGGAGAAGGCGGAGACGGACGAGCGCCTGGCCAGCTCGAAGCAGGACCTGGAGGACACGCAGGAGACCACCCCCCATCCGCCAGGGCACGGCCAAGACGCCGAGGGGAGGCGCCGCTCGGGCTCGGGTCCGCTCCTGGCCCAGTGCACTCCCTCGCGTTCTCTCTCTCACTCTCTCTATCTTTCTCTGCCTTTGTCTCTGCCTCTGTGTGCGTGCGTGTGCGTGTGCGTGTGCGTGTGCGTGTGCGTGTGCGTGTGCGTGTGCGTGTGCGTGTGCGTGTGCGTGTGCGTGTGCGTGTGCGTGTGCGTGTGCGTGTGCGTGTGCGTGTGCGTGTGCGTGTGCGTGTGCGTGTGCTGCGTGTGCGTGTGCGTGTGCGTGTGCGTGTGCGTGTGCGTGTGCGTGTGCGTGTGCGTGTGCGTGTGCGTGTGCGTGTGCGTGTGCGTGTGCGTGTGCGTGTGCGTGTGCGTGTGCGTGTGCGTGTGCGTGTGCGTGTGCGTGTGCGTGTGCGTGTGCGTGTGCGTGTGCGTGTGCGTGTGCGGTGCGTGTGCGTGTGCGTGTGTGTGTGTGTGTGCGTGTGTGTGTGTGTGTGTGTGTGTGTGTGTCTGTGTGTGTGTGCGGTGTGTGTGTGTGTGGTGTGGTGTGGTGTGTGTGGCTCTGTTTGCCCGCGCGTGCGTGGCGTGCGTGCGTGCGTGCGTGCGTGCGTGCGTGCGCAGCGCGCGCGCGCGCGCGGCGCGCGCGTGTGTGTGTGTGTGTGTGTGGGTGTGTGTGTGTTGTGGGTGTGTGTGTGTGTGTGTGTCGTGCGCGCGTACGTGCGCGTGTGTGTGGTGTGTGTGTGTGTGGTGTGTGTGTGTGGTGTGTGTCGTGTGCGTGTGCGTGTGCGTGTGCGTGTGCGTGTGCGTGTGCGTGTGCGTGTGCGTGTGCGTGTGCGTGTGCGTGTGCGTGTGCGTGTGCCCGTGACGTGCCCGTGTGCGTGCGCGTGTGCGCGTGTGTGCGTGCGTGTGTGCGGTGTGTGCGTTGTGTGTGGTGGTGTGTGTGTGTGTGTGTGTGTGCGTGCGTGCGTGCGTGCGTGCGTGCGTGCGTGCGTGCGTGCGTGCGTGCGTGCGTGCGTGCGTGCGTGCGTGTGTGTGTGTGTGTGTGCGTGTTGTGCGCGCGCGTGCGTGCGTGTGTGTGTGTGTGTGTGTGTGGAATGTGAGTGCGCGCGCGTGTGTGTGTGTGTGTGTGTGTTCCGCTTGCGCGTGTGTGTTGTGTGTGTGTGTGTGTGTGTGTGTGTGTGTGTGTGTGTGTGTGTGCGTGCGTGCGTGCGTGCGTGCGTGCGTGCGTGCGTGCGCGTGCGTGCGTGCGTGCGTGCGTGCGTGCGCGCGTGTGTGTGTGTGTGTGTGTGTGTGTGTGTGTGTGTGTGTGTTGTGTGTGTGTGTGTGTGAGTGTGTGTGTGTGGTCCCTCTCCCTATCTTTTAAATTTAGGTATATGTATATATGTCTGTCTCCAGAGTTATGTCTAGACTCCAGGCTTTGGCCGACGGGAAAACGTGTTCGGGTATGCTGGATCCTGGTGCATTCCTGCGAATGGGAGGGATGCTTTGCTAAGCGGCAGGGTTGTCATATCCGTACTCCAAGGTCGACCCTCTTCCGATGATCGCCAGAACACATGATAGCTCAATATGCTGTGATAGCAGTGGTAGACCCTCAGTGTACCACGCTCCGCATGCTGAAGGGCCTTCGTGGACAGACACGGGTCAGTGCGAACACCCGTCTTCCAGAGCAGCGTCTCTTGCCAGCTGCGAGGTCTTTCTTCAGCCTGTCCTGCGACGTGCCCCGGCCTCTCGCAAGCGCGTCGCCTCCTCAGGAGTCCCTCGCTGCGGACGAGAAGTTCCTGATGATGCTGAAAGAGAAGTGCTCGATGACAGACGCCGAGTGGGAGGAGCGCCAAAAGACGCGCGCTGCAGAGATGGCGGCCGTTTCCAAGGCTCGTCGCCGCCGTCACCGCTGCCGCCGCCGTGACCATGTTCGAGAGGGCGGCATCCTCCTGGCAGGGGCACCCGGCTCGGCGGCTCCTCCTCCTCCTCCTCCTCCTCCTCCTCCTCCTCCTCCTCCTCCTCCTCCCCCTCCTCCCCCGCTTCGCTGAGGAGTCGGAGGTTGTCATTGAGTTCAAGCCTCACCATGATTTCAGTTTGTCGCCGCCGACCTCCTCCTCTGGGCAGGAGCCACGCAAAGATGGCAGGATCCTCGTCCTGTATGGTGGAGCGGTGGTGTCCTGATCTGGCCCGTCGGGTACGGGACGGCCTTCTCGAAGAGCAGCGGGTCTTTCTCCTGTGGCGCCATCGCTGTTTTTCTCCCCTTCGAGCGTCTTCACTTGCCCCCTGCACCTCCTCTCGCAGTAAGACAGTCACGGCGGCCGTTTTTGTGCGATTTGTCCGCCTCTGGGGGCCCTTGTCGGGCCCTGGGGCCGTCAAAAGCGGTTCAGGACGAAACGCCAGTCCCGGGGAGGGGGGTCCAGACTTCGGGGTGCCGCGGAGGGAGGAAGTGAGGGGGGGCAGGCATTCTCAGATGGCGGCGCGGCTTCTGAGAAGCCCACCGTGGCTTCGGAGAAGGCTCGGGAAGCTCCAGGGAGGACCTCTGGCCTCCTGAGCCTTCTGAGAAGCCTCGCCCCCTCTGCCTTCCTCCCTGGGCGCGCCGCCGAGAGAAGCGAAGGCCCTCGCCATCCTCAGCACCGACGACGCCCACGACCTCTACACCCGCACCTTCAACAAGGGCGCCTCCCTGCTGCAGCAGCGGAGCTCTGCTGGCTCCGCCAGGCGCGACGCCGCCTCCAAGGTCATCGCCGACGCCGCGAAGCGACTGCACAGCCAGGGGCTCTCCAAGCTGGTCCCCGAGGGGAGAAACACGATGACCGAGACCGAGAGAAGCCGCGGGCTTCTGTCGACGCCGGACATGGTCGTGGTCCATGCCAGCCGTCGCCGATTCGCCAGGAGGACCCACGGCTCGACGGTGACCAAGATGAGCGATGGCCAAGATCGACACCGAAGCTTTTGCGTCCAGTCTTGGTCATGGTCCTCGTGTTCTGTCCCTCCAGGCCCTGACGGTGAAGCTGGACGCGTTCGAGCGCGTGAAGAAGGCCATCGACGACATGCTGGCAGCGCTCCAGGCGGCTGGCCTCCTCTCGGGCGGCGGGGTCTGCACGTGTCCACCGCCCCCCTGGCCGGGCCCATCCTGGGTCCCAGGAGCGGCATGCCTGCCTCCCTGGCCCAGGCCAGGAGGGCGTATACACCGGTCCTGGGCTTGAGTCGGGCGTGTCCCTTCTGCAGGAGGAAGATTCGAACATAGTAAAGAATAATCGTCTGAGGACGCTTGCATGACTAGTTTTGAATCATTTTGAGCATTTTTGGTTTATGTAATGCTGTTCCCCTCAGATCCGCCTGCAGGAGGACATGCCCGAGCTCATCCTGGGCCCGGGCTGGGCCTGGCCAGGGGCGGTGGACGTGTGCAGACCTCTGCCCGCCGCGCGCCGCATCGTTCCTGGTGCCACTCTCCCTCGCGCGGCCTTTCCTGCCGCATCTCGCCTTTCCGCAGAGGCTGCCGCGCGATCCCGACCCGACTGGCGCATGCAGTGGGGGAATGGCTTTTGTCGGGATTTCCCGCCCCATCGAACGTCGTCCATCGTCCTTTAACAGGAGGATGGTTGCTCTCGGAGCGGACCTAGTTTCGCTTGCATGGACTGTGACCTCGGGAACACGGACCCACTGTTTTTCCAAACCAGACGGGTCGATACGACGGCAGCCCCGCGCAACCCAAGTGTCCCAAAGTGGTGTTTGCTGGAGCGGAGGAGGAGGAGGAGGAGGAGGAGGAGGAGGGAGGAGGAGGAGGAGGAGGAGGAGGAGGAGGAGGAGGAGGAGGAGGAGGAGGAGGAGGAGGAGGAGGAGGAGGAGGAGGAGGAGGAGGAGGAGGGAGGAGGAGGAGGAGGAGAGGAGGAGGAGGAGGAGGGAGGAGGAGGGAGGAGGAGGAGGAGGAGGAGGAGGAGGAGGAGCGAGGAGGAGGGAGGAGGAGGAGGAGGAGGAGAGGAGGAGGAGGAGAGGAGGAGGAGGAGGAGGAGGAGGAGGAGGAGGAGGAGGAGGAGGAGGAGGAGGAGGAGGCGAGGAGGAGGAGGAGGAGGAGGAGGAGGAGAGGGAGGAGGGAGGAGGAGGAGGAGAGGGAGGAGGAGGAGGAGGAGGATGAGGAGGAGGAGGAGAGGAGGAGGAGCGAGGAGGAGGAGGAGGAGGAGGAGGAGGAGGAGGAGGAGGAGGAGGAGGAGGAGGAGCGAGGGGAGGAGGAGGAGGAGGAGGAGGAGGAGGAGGAGGAGGAGGAGGAGGAGGAGGAGGAGGAGGAGGAGGAGGATGGAGGGGGAGGAGGGAGGAGGAGGAGCAAGGAGGAGCGAGGAGGAGCGAGGAGGAGCGAAGAGGAGCGAGGAGGTGCGAGGAGGAGCGAGGAGGAACCAGGAGGAGCCAGGAGGAGGAAGAGGAGGAAGAGGAGGAAGAGGAGGAAGAGGAGGAGGAGGAGGAGGAGGAGGAGGGGGAGCAAGGAGGAGCGAGGAGGAGCGAGGAGGAGGAGGAAGAGGAGGAGGAGTACCAGTGTAACCACAAGAGTCATCAACGATGCTGGAGTAAACCCTCCCTCCGAGCTTCCTCTTCATAGGCCCCTACAGCGGTTCATTTCCATTGACGGAACTGCTCCGTTGGAAGACAATCGTTGAAAGCCCCTAAAGCATGCCAACGCATTGTTCGGGATTCCAGCGCCACGGATCAACCTGACTATTGCGTCCGGACGATCGTGAAATGTGCCAGACCGCCATTCCTGGGACTTCAACACCGCGAATCAACGTAACTGTTGCACCCGCATAATTCTGAACCTTTCCAAACCAACATGTCTAGTACGTTGACATGGGAGCCAGTGAAACTCTTGTATGTTTAAGCGAAAGTGCGCGGCGCTTAGGCGAGAGCCACATTCTGAAAACGGCCCGCCCTCAATCCGCAAAACAGCTGCAACTTCTAAAACGAATGTGCGCGGCGCTTAGGCGAGAGCCACATTTTGAAAACGGCCCGCCCTCACTCCGTAAACCATTTGCAACTCTTAAAACGAATGTGCGCGGCGCTTAGGCTAGAGCCACATTTTGAAAGCGACTCGCCCTCAATCCGTAAACCATTTGCAGTTTTTGAAACGAATGTGCGTGGAGATAACGCGACAGCCACATGTTGGAAACGATCCACCCTCAATCCGTGAAGCTCTTGCTGTTTTTCAGCGAATGTGCGCGGCGCTAAGGCGAGATCCACATATTGGAAAACGGCCCGCCCTCCATCGGTGAAATTGTTGCCAATGTTTCAGCTTCAGAGTCATAAGTGGTGAGGAAGTCTCAGGCGAAACGCCCAGCTCACCCTAAAAACTTGCCTCAGGGTGCGACATGGATAACTTATTCATAAGGAAAAGGAATGGAGGAGGAGATGGAGGAGGAGGTGGAGGAGAAGGAGAAGGAGAAGGAGGAGACGGAGGAGGAGGAGGAGGAGGAGGGGGAGGAGTGAGGAGGAGGAGAAGGAAGAAAGGTGCGGAAGAGGTGCGGAAGAGGAGCGCGGATGAGGAAGAGGGGCGAGGAGCATGGAGGAGCAGTGAGGAGGTGGAGCGAAGAGGAGGATGAGGGGTAGGTGGACGAGGAGAAGGAGCGTGGGAACGAGAGCAGGACTCTGCAGGAAACACCATTAGCACCAATCAGCAGTAATCAACGCCGAAGAGCATGAAGCAGCCGCGAACGACGGATCTTTGTAAAGTTGCGAACTGCCTCATTGCTCAGATGAAGACTCAGCTGCTCAGTTGATGAACCTCATCCGCGAAGCCTGATGGCTTCCAACAGGGTGGCCGATCGATTTACCTGAATCCTGAGGCCTTCGGGGCCCTTTTGAACCTTGCGCCTCTTGTGGGCTCTTGTGGTCCTTGGCCCGTGTGCCCCTTGCGACCCTGTGACTCTGTGTGACCTATTATGGACCTTTGGACGCTTGTGACATTTGTGGCCTTGGTGACCCTAGGAGCCCTCGGAACCCTCGTGCTCCTTGCGTCTGTTGTGGTCCCTTGTGATCCTGCGGCCCTTGCGTCTCTTGTGGACCCTCGCGACCCTCGTGACCCCTGCAGCCACAGTGCTCCTTTGGACCCTTGTCGACTCTTGCGCCCTGCTGTAACACTGTGCTGCCCGTTGGGCCCTTGGGTCCCATGCGACTCTTGTGATCCCCTCGGCCCTGTGGCCATCGAGCCTCTTGTGGCCCTTGTGACCCTTGGGGCCCCCCACAACACGTGATCCAGTGGCCCGCCGGTGCCGTGCAGTGGCACCATGGTTCTGTGGTGGCGCCGTGTCGCGCCGTACCCTGCCCTGGCGCCGTGGGGGCCGTGCCGCTGTGCCGTGCCGTGGTGCCGGGAGTCGTCCGGTGCCGTGGTGTCGTGCCGTGCCGTGCCGTGCCGTTGCTGCCTCTCTGTCGCTGTCTGGGGTCGTTCTTGCGGTGAGATGTCTGGGCCCACCCCAGGCGCGAAGACAGTCGCGCTTCGCGCGTCGCGGCTCTGGCTGGAGAGCTGCCCTTCTCCAAGGTCGCCTCGCGAGGACTCGAAGATAGCCGCGCGCCGAGCACCGCTGGGGGCCATTCTCGAAAGGAAGTGCCCTTAGTTTGTGCAGTGTGCCTAGCATGCCTAGCAGCTGGCAGCCCACCTGCCAGCAGCGGGCCCTGAACCATGTAGCTGACTCGCGTGGAAGCCGCGCAAGAGTCCTTGTGCGTAGGTTGTTGGTGCGAGGGGCTTTCTGTCTGGCTGTTTGCCTGACCGTTGGTCGCGGTTGGTGGCAGTGCCTTGCGCAAGGTGGACCATGTCGCACGCAGAGCATGACGCAAACATTCTGGCATGCCACTTTTATTTCGCAGCCCGCGACGCGCCATGGCCAGGATGTGGTTTTCCACGCATGCCGCTCGACGAAGCATGCCGCCAACCTCGCGACTTTGGCAAGATGTGCAATGTGCATGTGGTCGGAGGGGTTCACAGGAGGGCGACCCAGAGATGATAGCTTTGAGCTGCAAACGCGCTTGTAGCAGCACAGCGCGTTGAGGGAATTTTGAACAGCGCCATGGGCTCGGGGGCATAGCGGCGTAGAGCAAACACGGTACATGAAACGGAACCGGCATTCGCCCAGGAGCAGCAGGCTGCAGAGGTCAAGCACAAAGACTTCTGCGTGGCCGAGCTCGACGAGAACCAGCTCCAGACCGAGAAGAAGACCATGGAAAAGCAGGACCTTGAGGCCCTCATCGCCAAGCTGGAGACCACGATCAAGCACCTGACGGAGGCGCTCGAAACCCTCAAGGCAGAGATCGCGGAGATGGAGGTGCAGATGAAGCGCGCGGGGGAGACCCGCGAAAAGGAGAACGCGGAGTTCCAGGTTCGGCGGCGTGCCCAAGGGAGGGAAGCCAGAAGGGGCCGGCCTCCTCAGAGTAGAAAGCCTCTCAGAAGGCTGGGGGCCTCCTGAGCCTTCTGAGAGGTCCCGCCCCCTCTGCCTCCTCCCGTGGGCGCGCCGCCCGCAGGTGACGGTCGCCGACCAGCGTGCCACCCAGCAGATCCTGAAGAAGGCCCTGGCCGCCCTCGGGGAGTTCTACGGCAAGCACACCCCCGCCTTGGTGCAGAAGCAAGCGCCCGAGGGCTTCGCGCCGCCCAAGGGCTTCGACGTGTACGAGAAGTCTGCGGGCAGCAGCGGCGTGATGGCGCTCCTCTCGCAGATCGTCACGGACGCGAAGGCGATGGAGGACGAGATCGTCCGCGCGGAGGAGGACATGCAGAAGGCCTACGAGGCCTTCGTGATCGAGACGAACGCCTCCATCGAGGCTAAGAACAAGGAGATCGTCAACAAGTCTCTGGAGAAGGCGAAGGCCGAGGAGCGACTCGTGGAGGCCGAGGCGGACCTGGACTCCACCAACACGGAGCTGGGCGAGCTGGCCGACTACAACGCCCAGCTGCACGGGAGCTGCGACTTCACCCTCAAGAACTTTGATCTGCGCCAGGAGGCGCGCATGGAAGAGATGGATGCCCTCAGGCAGGCGAAGCAGATCCTCTCCGGCGCAGACTTCGGGGCCTTTCTGCAGATGGCGTGAGGCCTGCCGTGGCCCCGATGGCTGGGACCCCCGGGTGCCCTTGGCCCTTGGCCCTTGGCACTCCTCCAGCCTATTCTCGGAAGGCGTTCGCTCTTGACATAAGTCCCCTCCCAGCTGAACGCACACAGACACAGATATGTACGTCTACGTAGTGAGCATCTCCATCTACATCCACAGCAACATCTACATGTGCATCTACATGTGCATCTACAGCTCGATCTACATACACATCTACATCTAGCTACTACTTCTATGTCTACATATACACTGGCATGACTACATGCACACATGTACATAACCTTTAATATACACATGCAAATGCAAACTCACAACCACGTACGCACATGTGCACGTACAGGCATGTATACACATATGCATGCGTACGCATTTACACATGCAAGCACACACGCATTTACATGTTCGTACAACATGCATATGCGTATGCGTATACATATACATTTACACACGCATATACACATGAACATACGTATGTACACATCTAGACATCTACATTCATACGTGACTCTACATCAACCCCTGCATCTAAACATACATATGCTTGTACACATACACAAATTCATACACACACACGCAGATGTTTATCCATACCATATGCGCCGTACATCTACACGCACATCCACACCACCCACATATATACATATATACACATGCACATGCACCTAGACATAAACATGAATCATCACATACACGTGCACGCAGAAGCTGCGTGCGTACACGCATATACTCATGCACGTCCATATGCGTTTGGCAATACATGCATGTACACATCTATACATGCACACACATATACACACATGTTCATACGCACATGCATATACACATACATGCACATTCACGTATAAGGTAGTTTACATACGCACATATACAGATATGCAATTACCCATTCACAAAATCTGACAGGTGCCTTGCGGGTTGGGGGGTGGGGCGGCCCCCTGGGCGCCGCAGCGGCCCCACAGCGGCCCCAAGAGGGCCCCCAAAGTACCAAAGACAGCTTAAAACATCGCCCACGGGGCCCCGCAGCGGCCCCAGAGGCCCCCCAAATCGCCCTCAGCCCCCCAAGAGGCCCCTCGAACTGGCAAAGACGGCTCCACACGTCATCTTCAGTACCCGGGAAGCTTCCAAAACGCACCCAGGGAGCTCCAAGGGGACCTCGGAGAGGGCTGCATTGAGCAACCATCGTCGCATTCGATTTGGAAAAACGACATTTCCAACAGACTCGATGTTTCGCAACCCTCCTATGTTGGGTACTCGTTTTGAATAGAGCACCGTCGTCTCCACCTCCTCCTTCTCCTCCTCCCCCTCCTCCTCCTCCTCCTTCTCCTCCTCCTCCTCCTCTTTCTCCTCCTCCTCCTCCTCCTCCTCCTCCTCCTCCTCCTCCTCCCCTTCCTCCTTCCTCCCTCCATTCTCGTCCTCCTCGTTTTCTTCCTCCTCCTCCTCCTCCCTGCCTTGTGAATTTGCCGTCCCCTGGGGGGCTGCGATCTGCGCAGCTGTAGCCACTTTCGTGGGCTCCTGGGAGGGCCAGCGGAGGTACGTCATACGCAGATCACCACGAGACCTCTCCCTCCCCTGGGGGACTGCGATCTGCGACACCGTCGCCACTTTCGTGGGCTTTTGGGAGGCCCAGCGGAGGTACGTCCTACGCGGATCACCACGGGTCCTCGCCGCTCACTGGGTGGCTGCGATCTGCGAAATTGTCGCCACTTTCGTGGGCTCCTGGGATGGCCAGCGGGGGCGCGTCATACGCAGATCACCACGAGACCTCGCCGTCCTGTGGGTGATTGCGATCTGCGACACTGTCGCCACTTTCGTGTGCTTCTGGGGGGGGGGGCAGCGGAGGTAGGACATACGCAGATCACCACGGGACCTCGCCGTCCCCTGGGGGGCCTGCGATCTGCGACACCGTCGCCACTTTCGTTGTCTCCTGGGGGTGCCAGCGGAGGTGCGTCACACGCAGATCACCACGAGACCTCGCTGTCCCCTGGGGGGCTGCGATCTGCGAATTTGTCGCCACTTTCGTGGGCTCCTGGGGGGCACAGTGGAGGTACGTCATACGCAGATCACCACGAGACCTCGCCGTCCTCTGGAGGGCTGCGATCTGCGAAACGGTCGCCCCTTTGTTGGGCTTTTGGGGGGCCCATCGGAGGTACGTCCTACGCGGATCACCACGGGACCTTGCCGCCCACTGGGTGGCTGCGATCTGCGAAATTGTCGCCACTTTCGTGGGCTCCTGGGATGGCCAGCGGGGGTACGTCATTCGCAGATCACCACGGGACCTCGCCGTCCACTGGGTGGCTGCGATCTGCGAACATGTCGCAACTTTCGTGGGCTTTTGGGAGGCCCAGCGCATCTACGTCCCACGCAGATCACCATGAGACCTCGCAGTTCTTGGGGGGGGGGGCTGCGATCTGCGAACACGTCGCCTCTTTCGTGGGCTTCTGGGAGGCCCAGCGGAGGCACGTCCTACGCGGATCACCACGGGACCTCGCCGTCCACTGGGGGGCTGCGATTTGCAAACTGGTCGCCACTTTCGTGGGCACCTGGGGGGCCCGGCGGAGGCACGTCATTCGTAGATCACCACGAGACCTCGCCGTCCCCTGGGGGGGGGTTCGATCTGCGACACTGTTGCCACTTTCGTGGGCTTCTGGGGGGGGCCAGCGGAGGTACGTCCTACGCAACTCGCCACGAGACCTCGTCGCCACCTGGAGGGCTGCGATCTGCAAATACGTCGCCACTTTCGTGGGCTCCTTCGAGGGCCAGCGGAGTGACGTCATAGGCGATCACCACGAGACCTCGTCGCCCCCTGGGTGGTTGCGATCTGCGAAACTGTCGCCACTTTCGTGGGCTTTTGGGAGGGCCAGCGGAGTGACGTCCGACGCGGATCACCACGAAGCCACCCCCTGGGGGGCTGCGGTCTGCGAAATTGTCGCCACTTTCGTGGGCTCCTGGGAAGCCCAGCGGAGGTACGTCCCACGCAGATCACCACGAGACCCCGCCGTCCCGTGGGTGATTGTGATCTGCGACACTGTCGCCACGCGCAGCGAATATGACATGGCGCTGTCCGTTGACCATGCCGCATCCCGTCTTCAGCTGCCTGTTGCTTGTAATGCGTGCGGGCACATGCTACGTTTAACTCAAGGCGCTGTACTGTCATAGCGCGCAGAGCGCTCTCCTGCAATGCGAACACAGCGCAAGGCGCTGCTACTCCCACGAACTATGCCTCCAACCGTCCCTCCTCCACATGTTTCCACGCCCCCTCGTTGTCGCTCTCCTGCTAACGACCTGATTCTTAAGAGTGGCGCCGCACATGTGAAACACCTGAGTCTGGCCCGACGTTCGGTGGCGAAGCGTTCGAGGGCAGTGCGGATCATTCAATGATGGCCTTTGTATTGAGCGATCCGCTGTATACTCGCCACATGCTTAAAAAGAGTCGGGTGCGTCCCCGTTTTTTTTTTTTGTTTTGTTTTTTCCTCTCTTCCTCCCCCTTTCTGAGCGTGAAGACAGCCCTAGGGGCCTCCAAGATCGTCCGGGCTCGAAGGTGGCTCCGAGACGGCCCCAGAACGGCCCAAGAGGTGCCCAAAACGGTCCCAAGAGGAGGCCCACGAACGTGCCAACGCAACCGGAAACGTCCCCACGGCGGCTCAAGAGGCGCCCAAGCTGGTGCAAAACGGCCCCCAGACGGCCCAGGAGGAACCCTACACGGCCCAAGAGGGCTGCTCTTCTCCAAAGTGGCTTCGCGAGGGCGCGAAGATGGCCGCGCGTCGTGCACTGCCGGGTGCGATGCGCGACGTTGGGTGGCCTCCTTCAATCCTTTCTGGGGTGGGCGCGGTGTTTGTCGACTGCGCGCGAGAGTGTTTTTTTGTTCCCTCCCTTGGTTGGGTTCTCGTTTTGAGTCGAGCGCTGTGGTCTCCACCTCCTTCTCTCCCTCCCCCTCCTCCCGCCTCCCCTTTCTCCCTCCTCGTCTTCTCTCCTCCCGCCTGCCTTCTGCCTCCTGCCTCGTGCCCGCGCTCTGCGAAGCTGTCGCCACTTTCGTGGGCTCCTGGGAGGTCCAGCGGGGATGTGTCCCACGCGGATCACCACGAGACCTCGCCGTCCCCGGGGGGGCTCCGATCTGCGAAGTCGTCGCCAGTTTCGTGGGCTCCTAGGAGTCCAGCGAGGGGGTGTTCCACGGGGATCGCCAAAACCTCGCTGTCCCCTGGGGGGCTGCGATCTGCGAAGTCCCCCGGCCTTCTGAGAAGTTCTCTGAGCTCCTGAAGGCGATCGGGGAGGGCCTGGCAGGGTTCCAAGAGGGTGGCGCAAGAGAGGCTCGGAGAGCCAGTGGCCAAACTCCGTCTGACGGAGTTTGGTGTCTTCCTTGCTTTTGTCTGTCCGTACCCCCCTGGCCCAAGCCATTTGGACCTGGGCTGCGGCGCCCCGCAGCTCCTCGTGGTGATGGCAGACCTTCGGCCGTCCCGGTGGCCCAGGAGCGATCTCTCGTGATCTCCGGAACCCGGGAAAAGGGTGAAGCCGCCCCCCGTGGGGAGGCGATCGTTTCTGAGCTCCCTTCGAAGTGCCCCCAGGGCTCCTGAATCACTGGTAGCCCCACGCGCACGCGTGGTTGGAGCTCGGTTTCCATGGTGCATGTTTTTTTTTCTGTTGGTTGTAGCTGTTTTTTTTTAAATGCAAAGCATGATTTTGGGCGCTGCATTCAGGTTCACGGCCTGATTTTTCATATGGTGATCTATTTTTTTTTGTTCTGTTGGTGTGTTTTTTGTTTCGTTATCATGCTGGCGGTTTTTTTTTGGGGGCAAGTGGTTGTGAATTCTGCCTTTGACCATGTGGGTCGGGTGTTCCTATGTGCGCGATGCGAAGAAGTGGGCGGGGTTCAGGATAACAAAAAAAAACAAATCACATGGGACCGTCGCTGCGATACAGGGTGGAGGTGGATGAGGAGGAAGAGGAGGAGGAGGAGTTCGGCAGCGGCGGCGGGGTTCGAAATGACCACGACGACGGCGATGCGGAGGAGGCAGGAGCAGGACAGGAGGGGGAGGATTAGGATGCCGATCCCCCCATCGGCTCGTGCCCCTGCGCCGCCCGCCGCCGCGGGCTGGCGCCGCGACCATGGACGTGGAGTCCAGGGTCCTCGTGGCCCTGGCCCAATCGCGCGGCGTCGTGGACGCCGCAGCGATCA